AAAAAAAAAAAAAATAACGATTGTAGCCTTTTTTTTTCTTGCACTCAGGGCCTGGGCGCTGTCCATGAGCTTTTTTGCTCAAGGCTAGTGCGGTGCCACTTGAGCCACAGCTCTCGTTCTCACGGACTTTCCTGCCTGGGCTGGCTTTGAACTACAATCCTCAGATGTCAGCCTCCTGAGTAGCTAGGATGACAGGCGGGAGCCACTGGTGCCTGGCTTTAAATGGTTTTTAAAAGCAAAAAAATAACATAAAAACTTAAAAATATGTGTGGGTGAATTTAAGTCCCTGTGCATGTGGTAGTTTCTCTGCTGTTTCGCACCATGTCATTCAATGCAGTTTAACACAGGTTTTATTTTTTTAATTACCATTTCAGTCAGCATTTTCATTTATTCTTCTCCCTCCCATCCCCACCCACAGACACGAGCATTTTAAATTTGCTCTTTTGTTGCCACCACATTGAAAGCACCTGCTCAGAAACTAGCTGCCCCAGTCTCGTTGTAAACTCCGTTTTGTGTGCAAGGACATGATCCTACCTATTCATTCTTGTAGTAACTATTAAGAACGTCCACCGTGTTTCTGTTCCTAGAGAATGAGAGGGAAAAAGGCAATAAGTAAACCCAACGGGGGGGGGGAGGGAGTGGAGGTGGGGCCGATGCTGTGCTGGGGCCGCAGCTGGGGCACAGGGGCTTTGGGAAGAGGCAGCCCTCACCCTCAAGGACAGCGAGGCTGTTCAGCCGAGCCCCGCCCTCCCGTGAGCAGCCCAGGCCTGGCCGTGGGACTGGGCTGCACCAGAGCTGGTTCCCTCCCTCGCGCCAGCCTCTTGCCCGGCATGACAAGTGACTGGCCCCCGTGTGCAGTGGACCAGGCCAGCCTGAGGCCAGTTGTTCCTCCATTTGCTCCCGGAGCATCTCACATACAGCCGAGAAAGCCCTTGGAGTCGGGTCCCATCCTTGCTGTATTTCGTCGCAGATGTGAATATGTGAAAATGCCGGATGTTATTAAGGCTCTTTTGTTTATTTTTAACAGGAATCACTAGATTTGATCTACTTGGAGACTTTGGAAGGTTTAATTGGCTGGGAAATTTCTATATCGTATTATCCTACAATTTACTCTTTGCCATTGTTACAACATTGTGCTTGGTCAGAAAATTCACCTCTGCTGTGCGAGAAGAACTCTTCAAGGCCCTAGGTAACCCATGGTTTATGTTGGTTTCCTTGTCTACTAATGGATGATTTTGACGTGTAAGTTAATTGGATGTTGATTCATTTCTCAGAGTTGACGGTGCTGACCGCCACGTGTCGGCTGGACGTGTGCAGCCCGGGCCCTCTCTGGGCGGCGCTGATGGCCTCTCCCTTGGCACTCATGCAACCCTGGTTGGTGTGGGTCGGCTGAGCCCGCCCGGGCCTACCCCGGGCGCCTTGCTCTTGTGAGGAGAGGCGGGAGATGGACGCCGCGGAAGGCTTGCTCTTTTTTTTTTTTGTTTGTTTGTTTTGTTTTGTTTGGGGGGGGG